CCCAAACCAAGTGCCTTGCCATTAGGCCACTTTCCGTTATAGTTTATATTAATAGATATTTAACTTGAGTTACTATCATGCTTTAATACATTTTCGCGTATTTACTTTTTTGTTTCTAATTTTTCGTCTAGAATTTTTTTAATTTCTTTAACTGATTCTTTGATCGATAAAATACCTTGTTGAAAAAGAATTAATTCTATTCCTCTTTCTTCGCAAAGTTTTTTGGTTGCTTCCAGCAAAAATTTTTGTGTTTCAAAATTATGTAAGAAAACTTCTTCATTATCAACTTCTCTGTTTCTCGCTTTAAGAAAATTAAGTCAATTATCTTTATTGACTTCAAAAAAAATAATAATGTTGGCATCAGGAAGCACATCTTTATCAATTGTTGCAATTTCTTTCATTACAGGAAAATAACGATCGGAAGGAGAGATTAATCAGCGCATACAATGCTTATCTATATAATAATGTAATAATTTATCGTAATAAGTGTCGATTAAAATTGTTTCGCCATTTTCACTCAATTCTTGAGCCTTAATCAGCATTGGAGTTCGAATAGAACGAAATCACATTAGCATGGAAAAACTACCATAAGTCTTTCAATCTTTAGCCGCATCAACTCATTTTTCTTCTTCTGGTTCAAGAAAACACTTTATTTTTAATAAAGTTGCTAACTCCTTAACGGTACTTGATTTTCCTGAGCCAGGAATTCCGACAAATACAATTAGCATAAGTTCATTTTTACTTTTTTTTGGCGGAGATAGAGGGATTCGAACCCTCGCAGGAAATTTTCCCCTAACAGTTTTCGAAACTGCCCCCTTCAACCACTTGGGTATATCTCCTCTTAAGTATTTTTTTGTTATTAAAATTAATTAAGAATTATTTAAAAAAATTTTAGTGGTGAAAAAATGCCAAGAAAAAATTTGGATTTGGAATTAAATCTTTGAAAATACTACTCAGTAATTGCTGGAATTGATGAAGCTGGACGTGGGGCTTTAGCTGGACCAGTGATAGTAGCAGTTGTTATTATGCCCACTAACTTTCAAAATCCTTTAATTCAAGATTCAAAGATGCTAAGTCCAAGTCAAAGAAGAATAGCTTACCGAATAGTCAAAAAGGAAGCCCTGGAGTGAAAAATAACTTCTAAGAGTGCTCGTGAAATAGAAGAGAAAAACCCCCTTAGATCCACTAAGGAAGCTATGGCAGAAGCAATTTTGAGTTTAAAAATCAAACCTGATTTGTGTTTGATTGATGGAAAAGAAAAAATATTAGTAGAAAAGATCAAAACTGTAAGTGTAATTGGTGGTGATCGTCGTTCGATTAATATCGCTGCTGCTTCAATCATCGCCAAAGTAACTCGTGATTCTATTATGCAAAAACTACATAAAAATTATCCTGTTTATGAATGGTTTAGTAATAAAGGTTATCCTAATAGTACTCACTTAAATGCCATTTTTATTCATGGGATATGTGATTTACATCGTAAAACCTACGAACCGATAAAAAGTTTATTAAAGCCAGACTGTGATAAGGAGCAAATTTGAGAAAAGTATAGGATTGCTTTTGAAAATGGATAAATTTTGTTAATAGAAAATTTCTTGACGAAGTTTTCTATTAATTTCTTTTTCTTTTATTTTTTCTTTAATTTGGTATTTGCGAAGATGTTGAGCCAGGGCAATTTCCAATTTAGCTCAACCTTTCTCGTTGATGAAAAGTTGAATTGGAACTAGAGAATAATTCTTGGCTTTCATAACGCCAATTAATTTATTAATTTCCCTTTTTTTCAACAACAGTTTTCTTCTTCTTCGAGTATCATCGCTTTTTGACAAACTTCCAATGCGGGAGTTTTTATAAGTAGCAATAACCATGTTAATAACATAAAGTTCTTGTTGTTGCGACAAAACATAAGCTTTATTTATTGAAACTTGATGATTGCGCAATGACTTTATTTCACTTCCAGTCAGTACCATTCCCGCCGTAAATCTTTCTATTATTTTATAATCATGAAGATTTTTTTTGGCTTGGGAGATTATTTTTTTTTCCATATCTAATTTATGGCATCAAAAGTTTTGATGCTAATCTCAAACTTAGAATTTATAATTCCCCTTTTTCTAAAAAAACAAACATTTTTATAAATTAATCCTTTCTCGCTCTTCTTGTTGATTTTTACTTATAAATATAGTATATAATACCAGGAAGGAAGCCAAAAATTAGCCAAAAAAAACTCATTTTTGGTCGGTAGCAACCAATACATTAGCGACAAATTCTTTGAACGCCAATAATTATCTTTTTCACAAAGATGGCAATGTTTAACTACAAGAGTGTATGCTTCTGTGTCCGTTTTCATAAATTATTCAATAACCTTAGTAATTCTTCCTCCGGCAATAGTTTTTTTGGATTCTCTAATAATAAAGTTAACATTATTTTCCATGGCAACTGGACTTTCCAATTCTACCACGAAATTTTGTTCTTTCCCTAATCCAATCTCCGTTTGTCCTTCCGGAAGTTTGATGTTTCCAGTTACACGTGCGGTTCAAATAAAGAATTGAGGTTGATAATCGCTTTTGAAAGGAGTAACGCGGCCGCCTTCTTCTTTAGTTAAGAAATAAGCACTAGCCTCAAATTTTTTGTAAGCTTTGATAGTTCCAGGTTTAGCTATTACTTTACCGGTAGCTACTGTTTCGTCACGATCAATACCAGGCAAAAGAATTCCAATATCATCACCCGGAAAGACTTCATCATAATTTTTGTGATGCATTTCCATGCTTACCGCTTTAGCTTTAATAGTTTCGCCAAAACCAATAATTTCTACTTCTTGCCCTTTTTTTAAAGTTCCGCGAGAAACCTTACCAGTTACTACAGTTCCTCTTCCTTTAATGCTATTATTACCAGCTATTGGCATTAAGAAAGGAGATTTGTTGTCTCGAACCGGAGTAGGTATGTAATCGTCAACCGCTTTTAGTAATTGTTCAATAGCTTTTTCCCCTATTAACAAAACTTTATCTTCACCTAATTTTTTTACTGCTTCAGGAGGTAATATTCCTAAGGCTGCTGCTGCGGATCCTTTAATTATAGGAGTATTTTCTCCATCAAATCCAAATTTAGTTAGATTGTCTCGAATATCAAATTCTGCTAATTCTAGCATTGATTCATCTGCAACTAAATCGACTTTATTAATAAATACTACCAAATATTGAATGCCAATTTGACGTGCTAAACGCATGTGCTCACGAGTTTGCTCTTGTGAACCTTTTTCGGCGTTAACTACCAAAATTGCTCCACCGTCCATTTGAGCAGCTCCAGTAATCATATTTTTAATGTAGTCAGCATGACCTGGACAATCAATGAAACTGTAATGTCTTTTTTCAGTTTCGATTTCAATGTGAGAAGCGCTAATAGTTATTCCCCGCGTTTTTTCTTCTGGAGCGTTGTCGATTTTTCCGTAATCCACAAACTTCGTTAATCCTTTTTTGGAAAGGAATTTAGTAATAGCGGAAATTAAGGTTGTTTTTCCATCATCAACGTGACCTAAAGTTCCAGTATTAATATGAGGTTTTAAATTTATTGTGTTACTTTCTGCCATAGATTATTTTTTATATACTTATTATTTTAATTTTAATTAATTTTTAGATGTTTTTATTCTTTTGTTTATGAAAATGATTTCTCTTGATATTAGATAAATATAATTAGCTTTTAGCGTTCTCTATAATAAAATTATACTAAATTTTTTTACAATTTTTCTTCTTTCAAAATTTCTTCTAAGGTATCGTTAGAAACTTCTTGATAATGTGACAAACTCATGGAGTAAGTTCCGCGACCTTTGGTTAATTGTCGCAAAGTGTTGGCATAATTAAGAATTTCTTTAAGAGGAGTTTTGCTATCAATATAACTTTCTCCTTCCTTTTCCTCAGTATTTTCAATTATGGCTCGACGGGAAGCTAAGTTGGCGAGGATATCACCCATGTAATCTTTTGGAACTACAATCTCAACTTGCATAATTGGTTCTAATAAAACCGCACCCATCACTTTTGCTCTCATTTGTTTTTCTTCTCGACTGTCCCCACGAAAAGCCAAAATAGCAGCGTTTTTAAAATCTCCTTGTTGAGTATCTACCGCATGCCTTCTTCCTCCAAGCAAGGTAGCTTTGATATCTAACAAAGGATAATTTAAAAGCAGACCAGAAGACATGGCCTCTTCCAAACCTTCTTTTACTTCCTTGGCATCATTATCAGACATATCTTGACCTTTTTTAGCATCGATGAATTCGAATCCCTTTCCTTTATTTGGTTCAAAATTAATTCAAATTCTGGCGTCATGACCTCTTCCTCCGGTTTTCTTTTTATACCATGCTTCTAAATTCTCTACTTTTTTAGTAATGGTTTCTCGATAAGAAATTTTTGGTTGTTTAGTTTCTAATTCTAATTTATATTCTCTTCGTAGCCTTTCAGCCAAAACTTCTAAGTGTAACTCGCCCATTCCGGCTATAATCATTTGACCAGTTTCTTGATCCATTCAATACCTAAAACTAGGGTCTTGAATCTTTAACTTATCTAAAGCAATACTTAATTTATCTTTATCTTCATTAGTCCTTGGTTCAATTGCTTGAGAAATCACTGTTTCAGCAAAATCAATTTTTTCCATTAATAAAGGATTGTTCTCATCCCCAAAGGTATCACCAGTAACAGTAGAATCCAAACCAATCGCAGCAGCAATGTCGCCCGCTCCCACCTCCTTGATTTTTTCCTTATTATCGGCATGCATTCGAACTAACCGACTAATTCTTTCCTTTTTTCCTTTGTTAACGTTATAGATATAGGAATTTGCTGAAACTTTACCAAAATAAACTCGAAAAAAGGTTAGTTTATTATTATAATCATCAACCATTATCTTGAAAACTAGAGCTAAACAAGGCAAATTGCTATCATAATTAACTACTTCTTGTTTATCCTTATCTTGAGGCGAAAAAACAGTTATTCCTTCTATATCAGAAGGAGAAGGTAAATAGTCAACCACTCCAT